TTCCTGACGGCGAGCGCCCTGATCCGGCCGAGCCCGAGGAGCGGCGCCACGGCGCCGGTCAGCGAGGCGCCGTCCAGGAAGATCCCCGCCACCCTGCCCCTGTAGCATCTGACCCCGAACCACGTGCCGGAGCACGGGTTGGGGCCGACCCACGACGCCAGGGCCGTGGCGTTCGGGTTGTACGCCTTGAAGGAGAGGAGGGCGGCGAGGTCCTGGTGGCCGCCATTGGCATGGTCACCGTGCACATAGCGCGTCGATAGGTAGACGAAGACGGTGAGGAGCAGTAGCACGGTTGAGCAATGGTGGAAATGAGGCATTTTGGTTTTCGTGGTTGTTTTCGCCTGTGTTTGAGTTTGATCGAGAAATCGGCGAGCTGAGCTTTATAGCGCGGGCCGCGGGGGTGACAATTATCTGCGCGGGCAAGTAGAAATTTTTGAAAAGCACACGAGTAGAGCCGTAGAACGACGACAGACACTGGGGTCCAAAACGGAAAGCTGGGTAGCAGTGCCGTCCTGTATGTCAATGTTGAGGCTCGTCGTGGAGGTGAAAGTGGAAAGGGACGCCATGGACGACAGGAGGAGAGGTCCAAGCGGATAGGGGCGAGGTGGGAGGCAACAAGTCCCTTTTTTCTCGTCGCCCCTTGGGCAGAAGGATCTTGGACGTATTCGGTGGGCTGAACGTAGGTCACCGTGATGGTCGCCGGGGAGATACTGGTGCAGTGGTGCTCCTTCTACTTTTTTACGGGAACGGCTGAAAGGAAGGGAGAGGGCGCGGGGTTCCACGGCGCGTGGTGTAGCGGGTTCACGAGCGTGCCGAGGGGGACGGACGTTGGCGTCAGGTGGCACCACCGCACCAGAAGGTAGAAGACAAGATGGTGAGATTCCATTCCAGCTGCACGTTGCACTAGTTTCAGTGTTTCGCTTTCACCGCGAACCAGACAGAGCACCGAACTGGGTTCAGATGTCAGGGCAGGTTCGTTCACGGAGTGGGCCAGAGTCTGGTCATGGAGCTAGCCAGGCCTTGCCACAGGAGCCAACCCAGTAGCCTAGCCCAACAAGGCAACAAATTCAGCAAGTGCGTCGGGCTCAATTCGCGCCGGTTCGAGTTCCGGTGCGGTGTACGCATTCAGATCATCGGATGAGTCAATGACATATTTGGCTAGAATTTAATACAGTAATATGCATCAAAAAAATAATTTACTACAGTAACAACGGCGCGCTTAAACAGCCATGGGCGCTCCACATCCCGACGCTTCGAAACCATTGTTCATTTGTTCTAAAGTGCCGTTTGCCGATGTTCTAGCTGTGGTAGCAGCCTCTAGTTGGTTACACGTTCTAAAAGATTTTGAGACTACCCTAGGTTCCCGACGGCGCCTACAACTCTCTTGTTTCTAAATACTAATTGCTGGTCTGTAAGGGGTGAGATGGTTGGTTGTGGTTGTGAATCAACCCATTCCATTTAACGTGCCAAAAAAAGAGAATTGCATAGATCATGGTCCACCTCATTACTCAACCAAACACCCTTTGTTATATGTGGCAACACACATATCATGCAACAAAAACCACCTCTGATCACTTACAAGTTATTTCGAACAATTGTACATATAACATGATCATGTCAACCGTTGTTCGGTAAGCCTGATGTAGCATGATCATACAAAATGCAAATTGTTGATCAGTTAGCTGGTTTGAAGGACAAGAGAGTGTGTTTGTCCATCCAATCCCTCAGGTGCAACTTCGCCTCGTACTTGGCATCGTTCCCATCTCTATTCCAAGCGTCGATGATGAGATCCAAGTTCACGCCTTCTCCCACTTGTTCTTTGCCACTCACCAATTTGTTGAATTTGATCCCGTCCTTCGCCTGCTTGACGTGCTCTTCGATCACCCACCTGCCAAGCTCTTGTATCTCTGGATCGTTGACGTTGGGTAGTGGAAACCATTCGCCATATGCCATGGCGGGTGCTGCAAGGTAAGTGGCTATGGCGGCAATGGCAAATAGGAGTACGGCTCTTATGGTTGGACCCGCCATGATTCGTCGGTTCTAATATAAATTTTGAAGTTTGTGAGATGCAGGGGTGGTGGTTATGAATAAGGACGATTGGGGTCATTTAAATAGCCCTTGTTTTGTGGCGCACCGCAAAAATTAGAAGGTTGGAAAAAAATTGGTTGGATGCTTATAAAACCAACTCTTTCTATCCGTAATATCCTGTAACTTAGCAGAAAATGATTGACATAATTTTAGGTTATTTTTGTTCTCATTTTGAGGGGAGTATTTATCATATTTTAATGGGATTGACTAAGGGCTAATGTTAAGACAGTCCTTGCATGTAACAATTAAAGACATGCCTTGATGTACTGGTACAGTGAGAAGACAGTCCTTGTATGTTGTCATGAGTCATGAGTCATGACAGGTTGTCTTTATTATACTATTAGGGTTATTGGCCTTTGTACATGCTAATACAATGTCTGTAAATAGTGTAACTATCGGCGACATATGTTTTATTTAGGGCATGTTATTTATTTTAACATTGCAGAAATAAGTGTCATTACAGGAATAGAAGCATGCCGTCATTTGGATCAGTATCTTGAAGTCAATAGACGCTTATTATTGGCTTTGTAAAGGCCAATCAGTAGCACCGCATAAACTAGTTTGCTAGTGCAGGGTGCGCGCCATAACGCGCACAGGCAAAATTTTGAACACGGAGAAAATGTGCTAAAAACATCACGAATTTGCGAGCACCGAACTGGGCTCAGTTATTTTTGTTTCTTCATGCACAAGTTGAGTTTTAATTCCAAATTTGTGAGGTGATTTACCAAATCATACTTTATTTAAAAATACATCTTAAATTTTTCATCTTTTTTAGGTTAGGAAATTAATAACAAATTAGCACTATCGATATAGAATTGTATGAAAGTACTGATGAAAATTTTATATTATATTTTCTAACACAAAGCATGATATTGTCTGTCATCTAACAAAATTTGAAATTAATACACAACTTGTACGTGAAAAACAAAAATAAAAAATCTTGTTAAGTGGTAAATTAGACAAACTGAAATAGTTTGGGTAGTAAATTGAACCAAATATTAGTTTGGAGGTTATTTGTACATAGGAAAAACTTGGAGGGAGTAATTTGGACTTTTTAGTTGAACTAAATTTACTTTATATTATTTTTTAATGAAAATGTAGTTTGGATTGAAAATTTGGATCTTCTTTCATTCAAGACGAAGATTTAATCACTTAGTTAACACAAAAGCTATTTTTTATAATGGTATGTGATGGTAATAGTTAAATACATATGGGGGTATTTCTGTGTTGATTTTTGTGTAATGGCATATATGAGTAATTTATGAGTATGCAGAGGGGTATTTTTAATTTTGTTTCTTTAACTGATGTTGTAATTTACCGGCCGCGGGATAATTTGGAAAATTATGTTGTTGGCTAAATACTAAGATAATAGATGTTAGTTCTCAGTTAATGGCATTAAATTTATTAATTATATTCCTTTTGCACTATCACTTCTTTTAAGCAAATTGATTGCAAAGCTCATATAAATCAATTTGTACTAATTTCTACTAATAGATGTTAGTAACTCTTTTTAAGCAAATTGATTGCAAAACTCATATAAATCAATTTCTACTAATTTCCACTAATTTCTACTAATAGATGTTAGTAGTATTTTGTATAGCAGGAGCTGATTTGTTAAGCATCAAATCAATCCTTTCCATTTACAAGGTATTTCTACTAATTAATATGAACAACTGTCCATTGATTTCCAGCCTGGTGGTGTCGATGCGCCCTGGCCAAGCGCTGTATTTAAATTCCCCAAATTGTCCTCATCCATATCTCCACAGCATCTCATCACAAACTTGCGAATCCACCACGAAATCATGGCAGGCCCAACCATGAGAACCGGTCTCCTATTTGCTGTTGCCGTTGCAGCTATTTACGCTTTTGCAACGTCCACCATGGCAGAGATAACTCCGATAAACGTCAACGATCCAGTATACCAAGAGATTGCCAGGTGGGCGGTGACAGAGCACGTCAAGCAAGCCAAGGATGGGCTCAGGTTCAACAAATCAAAACAATGATAACACAGGTCTAAAAGCTTTGCTAAGAAACCAAGAAGAAGCCCACAAATGAGGGCATGCATGCACAATAAACATTAACAGCTCATAATACTGCAATCCTGATACATTTCTATTCATTAGAGGCTCAAGGCCACAGGTTGCCCCTCAGATCAGGAGGCGTAGTGTCCAGTGATAATATGCTAAAGGTGCATCGATTAATGTTAGTCCGACACACATCCGAACGTCTTTGCATCTTTGCCGTCAGTGCAGCGTAAGAACTGCCAACAAACCTCCTAAGAATCTTATGAAGGAATTACAGAAGCTGTAACGAGATGGCAAGAGCAGTTCTGGCAGTGACCAGGTTTAGAGGAAACATAAAGAATCGGGAAGATCTGAAGGGGAGCACTGCTGATGAATTGTAACATTTGTTAAACAACCATCAAGTGGTTAAAGCGACAGTAGGTTGTGGTGCCATATCTTATGCCCATTACAGTTGCAGGATAGCATAATTACAGGTTTCATGTTCCTTGAAAATGGGGAGCACTCATTTAATTTTCTCTCTCTATTTGACCCAAAACCAACATCAGTGTATGCTTTGGCAGCCAAATACTATAATATGTTAGCACGGGCTGAGGCAATTCCACAAAGGTATTCATCAAACAGGATCCAGCAACAATATGTTGTTCACAGTAAGGGCACAGTACTTGAATGCGAGAAAGTACAGCAGATGCATAGGTTAGATTACCTACTGATATCTATAGGAGCAGATGAAAGAAAATGCCTAGTTTAATAAGATTTTCCTATCAGTAGCATTGTTTTATGGTATTATTACGCAGCACTGAGAACATACTCTTAAGGGTTTCCACAGGCAGTGCATGACACAGATCTTGATATTTATGCCAAAGGGATAATCATACCAGTATACCACTACTACGAACAATCATGCAAGCTAATCTGGATACAGCTTACAGAAAGCATACCGGCATCTTTTGATGACTCCGACACAGGCAAGCACAGAAATTGAGAGTCCTTCATGTCTTCAGAGTCATTTCTACACTGAATGAAAAGAAGTGTGGGAGCTACAGCAGCAAGTTGTGACCCTTTCAGCCTTGCCCAGATGTTGATATGGGAATATGGGTATCCATCGTAGTTCTCATAGTAACCAAAGTTGCCATTCGAGGGTATTTCAGCATTCACCCCGCAGATTGTAAAAAGCTCATACTCCTCTCCCTGCAGTTGGTTCAAGAAGTATCAGATCAGAAAGGTCATCTACCAGACAAGGTTCAAAGAATGCAAGAACAGCAGAGAAACAAAAAACATATGATGAACTTGCCGTATCTTGTGCATGTTTCCTTAACGCGGCTTGAGCGCAGCTGCAAATCGAACTCTGGTGAGCCTCAAAATCCTTCCTTTTGGCAGAGACAATCTGGGAGGCGTGCTTGGTCAGTTTCTGAACCAGCCCTGGCTTGCTACATGGATACTGTGAAAAATATGTTGAGATGATCTTAACATCATCAGGGGAGAGGGTACGATTATTCTCAAGTAATGACTTCAATTTTGACCCATGTTCCATGGACCCCAATGTGAAGGTTGCTAGTGCTCTAGGGTTGGGGTGATTTGCAGCACGAGCAGCGACCTTGTAAGCATCGTGTCGATCGTTAGATATTTCGTAGCCACCTTCCTTTGCCCTCGAGGTGACTCTGTCAAGTGCCACATTGTCCAAAAGAAGGTATCGTGTAGCATCATATGTGGAGAGCGCAGGGACTAGTTTTGTTACAAAGGTGATGAGGCCATCGAGGGAGCGGCACTCAGTGCGGGTGAGGGCCTCATCGTAGATCATGTCCACCTCAAACTCTTGGTGTGGGGGGAATACGTTGTCATACCAGATGGTGTTGAGAATGATGTTGGTGACAGGATCAAACTGACCATAGCAGTGGGCAGCCTTGAGGAGGCCCCGATGGTGCCGCGAACGCAAGCAAGAAGCTGGGATGCAGGAAATTGCCTTGAGATAGAACCCATGGATTCTATCTAGAAGCACCTTCATCAGAGCTAGTTCAAGTTCAAACGGGTACAGCGCCTTCTTTATGCCGGAGGGAAACCTTGAGATGGCATGACGCATGATCCCATCCGAGTCTTCCATCCCATGGCTGCCTTCCAAAGATACTTCGGAAAGATGATTTAGAGTGGAACTGCAGAGGCGGCCTTGTTTCGCCAGGAGGGGAGAGACCTTGTCCAGACGGGAAGCCAGCATGAGAGAGCTATTCACAAGTCTGGTGACCTTGGGATCATCTGATCCGGTGACGTGGCGACGCATTGCAGAGAGGGCAGCACAAGTCAGAGCAACTCTGGTGGTAGGGTGGCCAATGGTGAAGGCTTCCGAGTCACGATCCTCCTCGATGAGGCGCACGGCTACGAGGAGATCAGCCCTGGCCCGGCGCAGGTAGCGCAGGGCTTCCGAGGTGGGAAGGTAGCGGAAGTAGGTGGTGAGGAAGGTGACGAGGCCCTCAAGCGATCGCGCTGCAATGCGGTTGGCATCGGCACAGATCAGCTTCCCCGCTTGTTGCGTCGCGTCTTCACTCTTCCCCTTCGCCTTGCTGCTGGTGCCGGCTTGTGATCTCATCCTCTTCTTCCCACGACCTCCCTGCCCCTCCTGATTCGCCCCTTTCTCCACCGGCAACGATGGGCCTCTCTAGGCGGCGGTGTTGGCGATGATGTTGGAGACGGGGTCGAAGAAGCCGAAGCAGAAGCCAGCCTCGAGGACGAGCGGATCCAGAGGGCAAGGGAGCCGATCGAACGCCTCCTTGTAGTAACCATGGATATAACCCATCACCTCAGATTCGTTGCGGTCGTCGTACTCCAAAGAATAGTTCCCGCGGCGGTAAGCCTCAATCGTCCTCTGGAGGCTGCGTAGTCCGTCGGCCATCGTCCTCTTCCCTTTATCCTCCGATCCGCTGGTTGGGGAAGCGGAGCACCGCCGCCGGCGGCGGGGGGAGGGGGAGGAGGAGGAGGCGGCGGAGGCGAAGCAAGGTTCAGAAGTGCTTGCTCGATATGCCCAGTTACATTTTTTTGGCGGAGGAAATCCTGCAGCTATGTATTAGCCCAGCCCAGTGCAAGCACTAGAAAGCTAGATTTTTAGGTACTTAGCCATGCGGCCCATTCCAGCCCAACGGACAACGGCGACGCAGAGTTGATCAGAATTCAGAAGAAGTTCAGAACGGCAGCGCCAGCCGCAGATGGAAAGACCTTTGTCGCTTCGGTGCACGCGTAGTTACTGCTGCGCACCAAGAAAAAAAAAAGTGCGCCGTGACGATGCGAATCCCCGGCTCATTAACCACAGCCGGATAGCCCTATATAACACACACACGCCACACGGATGCATGTCTCAGCCCATTCCTCCGTGCCAAAGGTGAACGCGACATCCAGGCACGACGCCACACCCGTTCGACGACGACCTCATCGGCGATGATGCGATCGGGAGCGCGCGGCGGCGACGTGGAGGAGGAGGAGGAGGACCGGAAGCCGGTGATCAAGCCGGGCGTGCACGTGACGCTCAAGGTGCAGGATACGGAGGGGCGCACGGTGGAGCGCACCGTGCGGAGGACGCAGAAGCTGCAGGTGGTCATGGACGCCTACTACGCCAGCGTGCCGGACGTCACCTACGGCACGGGCAGGTTCCTGTACGACGGCGGGCGGCTGAGTGGGGGGCGCCGCGGAGCTCGAGATGGAGGAAGGGGACGAGATCGAGTTCTTCACCGAGCTGTTGGGTGGCGGCGGACGTGTTGGTGCTGGTGCTGAACGCCTGGTGATGGTGATTGCGTAGCTCGCTGCTCATATCGTCGTACGCTTGCTTTTGATAAATCTGAAAAGTTATTGTGCGTCGTTACATCGATGGCAGCTAATATATTTTGAAACTTCGAACGGTTATAACATGTACATGTTCGCTTGAGCTACTTTTCAACTATGGAATAGTATTTTTCTTTAACAATATTTCAGCATAAGTATTAGCATAAGCCAAATTTTAGCATAAACGAACAGGGTGATGGTCTTATGAGATTGAGTACCCAACCTTTTTTCTATCTGTGATGTGAACTTCTCTATCCTGCCTGCAGTCTGCAGAAACGTTTTGTTGAAGCATGTCTCGTGGGGTTGTTTTCATTTTTAGGTCGAGAAACGCAGTCGCGACGAAATGGAAAGTCAAACGTCCTACCCACGAATGAGATAAATCAAACTACATTGAAGTACATGAGTCAATATACTTTTAAAAAAAAACACAGAAAAACTCTTTAAAAATTATTTTTTGAAGAATATGAAATGTAGAATCCCAAATCTGGTTTGATTTTGGAAAATTTATTTTAGCTCAGGAAAATATGAAACCTATTTTAGAATTAAAAAAAAAACATGCTCTATATCACGGTGCATTGAATCTTATATGGTGGGGCGCTAGGCTAGAGAGGATGTCATCTGAAAAGGCGAAGATAAGAAAGCAGCATGTGGATGTGTGTTGTGCTAATTGCATCTCGTTGGACATGCTAAAATAAATCTCTCAAAAAAAAATCTTACATTTTGCATCAAATGAAGCTGATTGCCATTGTATGAGTAACAATTTTGCCTTAATGAATCTTACAATTTTAAGAAAAATAATATTGATCCAAATACCGGCAAATTTGCCTTGAGAGGAATAGATAACATGTTGGGTTCTAACCTAAGGTGAGGTGCAGTTGTGTGATTTTTGGGTTTGATTTTCACTCAAAAAACTAGGCTGACATTTATTTTTTCTTTTTTATCGTCTAATAAAAATAGTGGCAAAGCTTTTGCTGTTTTTTCTATTAAAAAAAAGCCTAAGATGAGGTACTTGTTGGATGCATGGCAGCCATTTTCCTTGTAACTGGCCGAGGACTAGATGGAATATGGTGATGGAGAATGGGCATGTGAAGTTGAAGCATGACTAGCATCTCCCTTCTCCCTGTAAAGTGATATATTGGACGGATTAGAAAGTAAAGCCAAAATATTGAAGAGCTATGTTGGGCTAGATTGGGCTAGAAAAACGTAGAAATTGGAAGTGACACTAGTACAAAGCGCGCGCCCCTGCGCGCGAGTGCAAGTGAGGACATCTGAGTTTGCACAGGTAAGATACGGAGCGCTAATGTATACGATTAGGGCACATCGGTGCACACACACCTAAGAGGATGTCTATATTACATATGGCTGTGCATACTATACAAATTTTGTGAGAGGAAAGCAGCACTCCCATGTCTGTACAGGTAAACGCACGATGATGTACATAGATAGGATATTATGACAGACATACATGCACAGAGGGTACATATTACAGGTAGCTAACAGAGTATATGTGTTAGGGTCTGCTATTTTTCCATACGCACCTGAATCATCAGATCAATATTGCACAATTTATTCAGGTCCAACTACATTTTTGGGGGAAAAAGCAACATAGATGAGCTCAGCATCTCAGCTATTTAATTTAAAGAAATATAATCATCCTGTAAACCTATCATAGGGACATTCGACAGTAACATGTAAACACAATAGTTGAGGTTCACGCAACATCCTATATTACACAATAGTTCATTAGATAAGATAACAAATGCAGGTGTGCCAGGCCATTTCAAAGGTACACATTCATGTACAACTATCATGTGTTAGAATCATGAACTGAATGAGTCTTTAGAGTTTAATATCACACAAATCCAACCCGTTGGTACTTGATCAAACACCTTGGACATAATAATGATGAGATCCATGAACTGGACAACGCACCACTGGGATGTTGGTAGGAACTGTTCACTCTGAGGAACATCTACTCTGGTAGGAAACAGAAGCAAAGAATGGGGGATTAGAGGAGCAAGTAAAGTGAAATGCTGAAAAGACTGTGTACAAAATTATGTCCTATAGAGTAAAGTTGATGTTCTTAAGCATTGTCTGTTGGCTATGTGAAAAGCAGTAAACATAAGAAGCAATCATTCTCTGGTAAACTACACCACACTCCCTTGAATAAAAGCATTCTTTGGAATTGGACTGTGTAAAAATAATAATTTGACAGGCTTCCTCAAGCAGAAATAATACGACAATTCAGAAGGCTGGTAGATCTGTGTATAAGAAACTAAAGAGAAGTGATGTAAGGTGAACCTAATAAGATGTGAAACTAAGTTTTTACTCATTCCAGCAACGCCCATAGCTATACCAATGTCAGGCTGTTTAAGAGCAGGGGCATCGTTGACTCCATCTCCAGTCATGGTTTTAAGGTAATTGCGTATGAAAAAGAGCGCAAGAGGTAACATGTTCATATAGAATGTTAATTCAACAATGAGGAAAGAACAGTGATAGAATGTAACACTTGTTGTTTTATTTTTTTTAGGCTGAAGTGTAGATTACAAGGCTGAAAGCCAGGCAGGAACATTCTGCTGAAGCAAACATTAAGGACCGTTGCTAATTGACTATAATCCTGTCGAAGTTGGTAACTTCAAATGGATACTGAATTCTATTCAATCAAAGGTGGACATATATATTGTAGGGAAAATAAGGTTATTTACTGCAATGGAGTTACAGTGTCGCTACATCATTTATTGTAGAAAATTAATTATTTCGGTGTGCTATGAAAACGGAACTACACTAATCCGTATAATTACATGTGATAACGTATTTGTAACTAAAAACGAAGTCAAGGATACATGGCCAAAGAACCTGTTAAGGCTCTATTGTTGTGGTCTCGGATGCAAAAAGTAAAGGGAACTGTTCTTATCAGGCTGCAAAAAGAAAAACATCTCATGTGAGAATTTGTTAGAAGTTGTATCACCATCAAATGTTGCTAACACAGGTAAAGGTTGTGGGCGAGGCTGGAACGATGTTATTATAAACTTTAAGTGAACCTATGTATAAATACCTAAGAGTATGGATCTGCAATTTCGCAAACTGAATGTATGCAAAACTGTGTATAAAAACAAGGCCTTACAACATCCAAAAAGGCAACACGGTTCCCCATGGCCTGGAAATGTATTGATCAAGTATCTGTCATTTTTAGAAAACAGGGAGGCATGTTCCTTCTCCTGTTTTTATAAAACAGTACTGAACCAATAGGAAGCATGACGACAGAAATAAGGCAAAAACCAATATATTAATACAGGAGTAAACAGTTTGAGAGTAGCTAACATTTAGTGGTTCACCATCAATCTAATCTTAAATCTGTTAGCCTGTAGAGGTTCTGAATAGAATGGCTTCAAACCTGAAGCACGAAGTAGATAATCACCTAAAACCGAAGTTTCTTTTGTAAGCTTCCCAAATATTGCAAGGATAAATTGTACTGGTACTTTTTATTCTTTGAAAGAGCAGGTAGGTATTTTATAGCAGATGACTACTAAGTATCCTATCCATGTGTTAAGATCATGGCACTTGCTAATTTCATTTTTATGGGGCGAGGAATAATTTTTCAGTAAAATGAGAACAAATAAAATGACACTAAAGGTGTCAAACTACAGTGAAGCAAAGCAGCAGACAACTATGAGGCTATCTGCAAAAATCAGCCTGTTTTTTTTTTTGAAACACAAAGAAATCATCCTGACTAACCATGACTACATATTCTCGTAAAAAGATATTTGTTCTCAGCATCATTGCTATTGAAATATGGCCAACATAAGATGCAAAATAACAGCGGCATGGAAATATATGGTCAGGCTTATCGGATGCACCTCACAGGCACTGTCATATTCTCAAATTGGAATGGCTACATCATCAGCGATGGCATATGTTCAGGATAAAATAAAAGAATCATTGGCACAGGCATATGCTTACATATGTTGAAAAGATCACAACAGCAGCACAACATTGACAGTTTGGTCGATATACTCTATATGGGAACTGGTACGCTATCAGGTTCAGATATTATATGGATAAACATGGATCTTGCAGTCATGTTTGATAAGCCGATGTCGTAGCATGGATCACACATAAAATGAATGTGGCAGCTAAATATTTAGGGGTTCGCAAGTTCAGGCGGGCTAACAGGATGGGGCGAAGCTAAATCTGGTATGGTCCCCTTTTCTTACTGTGTGCTAGCTATGTGTTTTTTTTTTGCACTGTACCTTGTGGCCTTTTTTTAGGAAAAGAAAAGGTGCATCTTAGTTCTCAGATGGGAAAAAAAAAACAAGGTGAGGCAAAACTTTGTAGCTCAGTGGCATGGTAACAGTGTAAAAAGAGGCTAATTTTTTTAGCATAAAAAAAGGCCAAGGTAACGTTGTTTGTTTTTAACGCAATCATGTTAACACCGAAGGCTCAAAACACACGGGGTAGTGGATAGGCTGGGTGAATTCCGAGCGACGTGGCCGGTGTGAGGCGCTGGGGACCAACATCGGATTGAAGGGGAGAATAACAATGTCATTTAAGTCAGGAGCTAGAGCTCGCAGAAGGAGACAGTGGCCATGTTACCAAAAATTACTTCTTCTCATTGGCATTGACATATGGTCAACAGGAAACGCAAAACAGCAATACCATGGAAATATGTTCAGGTTTATTGGAAGCACGTCATAGGTGTTGTCATCTGCTTAAATTGGGTAGGTACATCATCAGCAATGGCATATGCTCAGACTCTAAAATAAATAAAGCAGCACCATAGGCACATGCCTATATATACCGAAAAGATTATAAGAGCAGCCAAATGCATTTACACATGGTCTTTTTTTTGGCACAACCACCCTCTGTATAATCGAAATAAATACGTACACATAGAAAATGAATTGAAGGGATCAGAGGCATAACGAAAATAAATACCATACGATATTGGACCTGAACACTTTCAAACGAAAATCAAGCGACCTAGCATTCCTTTCCATTTTGTTTTTCTATGGCTACAGCAAGGATCTTAATAAGACTTAAAATAGAGATCTTTCCATTTTGTTTTTCTATGGCTACAGCAAGGATCTTAATAAGACTTAAAATAGAGATAATGCCTCACCTGGAGCATAGCAAATTTCTTTTGGATGCCCTGAAATCCCAATTCCAGTATCGTATCCTGCATTTATAGCAAACAGCAACAGGGAAAAATGGATCAGGCAAATCTAAGGAAAAACAAAGTAAAATGTAGCAGAAAAGGTAATGCACTGACCTGCAAATCAGGCTGACCTGCAAATTATACTAACATGCAAATTGCACTGACCAGTAGGGGCAACGCAGCTTACTTTGCCCATAGAACCAGGAGGAAGGGCAACATGGGGGAAAATGGATCAGGCAAATCTAAGGAAAAACAAAGTAAAATGTAGCAGAAAAGGCAATGCAGTGACCTGCAAATCAGACTGACCTGCAAATTATACTAACATTGGTGCTTTAAAATAACAATGACAGGAAAAGTATGTTGCAGCAATGAAGAAGGCAAGAATCTTTTTTGAACGAAGACAGGATATTTAGAGGCCTCAGAAGCACAACAATCATCATTTGTTCGTCAACTTGGAGCTTCAAGGCATGCTGACAATTGGTTTACCCTTACAAACTGCATGATATAAGTAACAACCATGCTCAGTACCTCACAAGCAAATGAACATCAGATCATATCACTGATCCATGGATATGGAATTCTCATCACAGGCTGAAGAAGGGGAAAAATGGCAAATGGCAAATGATGAGAACATTAGATCGCAACCAATGAGGAAACAAATCCAAGCACCAAACTTCAGAGTACTGTGCCTACGCGGAATATTACCAAACCTTAACATCGGTCCAGAAATCCAAATGTAGAGGACCAAGGCAAACAATTTCGGGCGACGTGGATAGCGCGAACGATTTCAAGGCGACAGAGCCGGGCTCGCGCAGAGTCGCTCCGCTGATATATAGCGCGAGCGATTTCAGGGCAACGTGGCCTGGCCAGCCGATCGGGGAGCTACGCTGCTTTGTAGAGGTTAAATTTTAGTTTGTGCTCTGCTGACAAGGGTGCCGTCCTCTCACAGATGAACAGAGGGAAGGCAAACATTGGAACAACGGCCATCGTAAACGAAACTCTAGAGCATGAATCGAAGTCAACCTAGGACGAATCAGAGATGCAAAAGCAAAATCACAAAATAAAAGAGGAAACGGGAGCACCTGAGACTGCTTGGTGCCAACCACGGCACCGTCGAGGCCCACCCGCATCGGGCGCGACCACCATGGGCGGCCACAGCGGGAGAGGGAAAGAGGAAAAGATGAGGATGATCGGCCTGCAGGCCATGCCTCTGCCCTGAGCCGGCCGCGCCACGACCGAGATGCACCCGCGCCGAGGGCACCCACCATGGGCGTGTTAGAATTGATCTCATCTGACTCGGCCCAACGGTTGAGTAGGGCCTTAATTCAGTGCCCTGATCGGGGGCATCCAACCAAACCAAGGTTGGTGGGCCCTCGTCGCGTAGCACCATATAGAGGGAGATGGGGGCCAAGGCGATGACACGAGGTTCACCTGAGCCACCAGACGCCCCCACCTACTTCCTAACCCGAGACCGATCGAGAGGGGTGCTGCAAGCGACGGAAAGTCCACCGCCGCCTCTACGCCACCCGATGTCTACGCCGCTGTCGAACTCCCCTGCTTCTCCTTCCCCGACGCCCTACATCACCGACATGGCCATGAACGGATCCTCCTCCTCCAAGCCCGACGGTCAGAGATCTCCTACATCTCTCTCTCTCTCTCTCATTGTCTCTCTCTACCGAAGCATGCTCTAGGTCTAATTGATTTAACCAGTAACGAATACACCATATGATCAACACCTAGATGAATCCTAAGGTTCCACAATGGTATCAGAGCCAGGTTACCTAGCGTGTAAATCTAGATCGGGAAAGAATTTAAAAGGAGATGACTCAAAGCGATTCGGGAATTCCCTAAACCCCAACCCTAACCCTAGAAAGAAGGACAGCGAGGGGAGGGACCTACCCGGGCTTCTCTCGCCGCAGTCACCACTGCCGGCATTGCTCAGATGTCACGCGGGAAGGACCACCCGAGCCACCGGCCGACGAGGTCATGCCACAGCGCGGCCTCCACCTTGGGCTCGGGGTCAAGGGTGTCGCCACAAGGCCGCTCGACGGCGGTGCGCTCACCCTCGGGCGAGCGCGCGCGCCGGCGAGGGGTCCCGTGGCGGCGCCGTCACCTTCTTCCGTTGGTTGTCGTGGGTGGCTGCCGCCGCTTTGCTGCGCCCGAAGAGAGACGGAGGAGGAGAAAAGTAAGGCTAGGGTTAAGGGAGGCCGGCAGCGCAGGGGAGTGAGGTCTCGCTGCCGCGAACGGTGGCCACCGCCATCTCCCTTAGGCCGCCACGGGCGGCCACCGCCGCATCTCACTCGGGTGCGGGGAAAGCGAAGAGAGAGGAGGGGAGCGTGAAGATTGAATTAGGGTTTGGGGGAGCGGCGCCGGCCGGTGGTTTTATTCCGCCGAGACGGCCAAACAGTCGTCTGATGCAGATGAACGACCGAGATCACTCGGGCCGAATTTGAGTGTCGCCACCGACAGTCACGAGCGGTCGACAGGGGCCGCCCAAGCGGCACCGGACTTCACCTCGGTCGCTGCTGGAGCTCAGGCAAGGCACGGTGGGCCGACCAACGAGACCGGCATCATTGAGCCCGACCCGTTGACGCTCACAATGTACTCGGGCGCCATGCATGATCGCGACATCTCGGAGGACCCGATGGTTGAGGAGTTCGCAGCCTCACTTGTCGGTAGTCGGATCGTCGCGTGGCCTTCCCTTGAGCGCCTCCCGTCACCTTCGGCGCCCCCTCAGCTACAGGATGAGGCCCCGCCGCCCCGGCGGTGATGACCCCCCAGCTAGAGGATGTGGACCCAGCGGTAGTCTCCTGTGAGCTGCGGACAGCACCCCCGCGCCCCATTCAGTGGACAGTGGACTCGTCGAAGACACACACGGTCGACCTAACGGTGGATGTTGGCCCTCCCAGTTCACCACTGGGGGTTACCCACCAGGCTGTGGATAACGACGACTCCACCAAACGCCACCTCGACAGCTTCATCAATAATGTCACGCGTAAGAGGGACTCTCTGCTGATTAGCGAGCCTCCCAAGAAGCCTCCTGCTAAGCCGGTACTACCGTGGCCGAGCAGGCGGTTGGCGGCTCAGAGCATCTCCCGAGTGTCAACTTTCAAGTGAGGTGTGGTGTTGATCATGTAGCGTATGGGATGCACCAAGGGTCCATCAACGCCATCTGCTTCGGAGCTGGAGGCCTTTGACAAACTTTTCAACGGCAACCTGACTGCGTTCGAAGCCGATGCGCTGGACGAGCTCTTCCCGGCCGTCGAAAAGGTCCCGTCTAGACAGCAGCGAAGACGTAAGGCCACCTCCTATGTCACAAAGCTGCGTCGATATTGGTTGTTTCTTTTTATGTAATATCGAAACAAGAGGTCTTTTGTTAGGATGGTCCAGCTCCGGCTGTGTTAGATCGACCTTCTTCGACGCTCGATAGAAGCGCGTTGTATGTTTGTTTGTTTAAACTCTTCTCTTTAATACAATGATACGCAAATCTTTTGCGTATTCGAGAAAAACACTTTTAATTTAAGGTGCGAAATTTTGTCTCGTGAAACTAAAACATTTTATTTTGGCTGAGACATTTTTTTGTGAACTCCATTTGCGCAATCATGCCATTCATGAGCCGTTGCAAACCAAGACTGTATAGCGAGTGGGCAAGTATTCATGACTGCATTATCTTCTTCTCGCATCGAATCGATCCCACTCGCTGCAAACGGGCCGTCGGAGACGCTTCGTTACCCCACTAATCCTAGGAAGAAGTACATGGGAGGATAGTGAGAACCTATGTAAGCACGTTCCTGGCGCGACGCTCCTTCACCAAAGCGATAGCAAGGTGCACTCTCTAGTGAGAAAACACATCCGAGAAAGTCGATCATCGATCAGGCTTCAGGCATGGTGTCCCCATGGCGGAAGGAGGAGCCGGTCGCATGGCCCTTCAGGTTTGCAGGTGGAGAGCGCGGCTTGGTCGCCGCCATGGCGCCCGCGGTCGCCGTGAATCCCGTCATCAAGCCTGCCACGCTGGTGACCCTCAAGGTGCAGGACACCCAGCGGCGCGTCGTCACGCGTACCATGCGGAGGACCGACAAGCTGCAGGTCCTCATGGACTGCTACTACGACGTGGTGTGCTCGGCCGGCGCCGGCGCCGGCGCCGGCACGCGCGGCGCGGGGCGCTTCGTGTTCGATGGAAAGAGGCTGAAAGGTGAGCAGACGACGAAGGACCTCGGGATGAAGAGCGGCGACCAGATCGACTTTTTCGGTGATCTGGGAGCAACAGACGGCGGCGACGCCGAGGAGGAGGTGGATGAGGACGTGCACGTGACGGTCAAGGTGCAGGACACGGCGGGGCGTACTGTGAAGTTCACAGTTCGGAATACCCAGAAGCTGCAAGTGATTATGAACGACTACTATGCCAGCGTGCCGGGCGTCACAGTGGGCACGGGCAAGTTCCTGTACGACGGCAGGCAGCTGAAAGGGGGGCAGACGCCCGCGGACCTGAAGATGGAGGGCGAGGGCGAGGGCGAGGACGAGATCTTGATCGACTTCTTCATCGACATGATGGGTGGCGGCGGGTGGGCGGCTGCAGGCTGCTGCTGCTGCTGCTGAACAGCCGCCGGTGCCTGCGTAGCGGACTGCTCCATCTGGTGCTGATGGATTTACAAGGGGCCTGATGGTTTAAGTCATCGTGACATCGATGGAAGCTAATAATTTATATTTAAGCTTCGAGTGGTCATAACATGGTCTTGTGTAAGATTGAGAACCCGACATTGTTTTTTTCTCCTGTGATGTGAACTAAAACCTATCATGTTAAATCGCAATCCTTATATCCTTGATGTGGTCCTCTTCTCATTTTGTGCCCAGAAATGGAGTTGCAACTAAGAGGGTGTTTAGCGGAGGTCCGCTGCACGTGCTCCCATGCCGGAGCCGGAGCCGGAGCGCCGAAGCTTCTTTCATGGCATTGCCTAGAAACGCTCTTCCTGTCAGGTGCGCAGGTCCGTCACCGAAGCCGTGCCAAATAGGTCATAAATTCAGGCTAGGCCTCAAGCAAATAACAAAACAACAGAAGCAACTACTATTAACAAAGACCAGCCTCAACAGGCTGCATACACCGTCTCGCACTCCATGAGCCCTCTACCACCTCTCCCTTTTTTTTTAAATGCTAATGGTCAATCGATTGATTTAGGGACATCTTTCAACCGTTTTTTTTTGCCATCGGATGACGTTCGATCTTCCTCGCCCGTCCTCCCTCAGTCGTCGATAGAGAACCAACCGGATAACTTCGGCCTTATGGTCGCCCCCACCGTTCCCCACGGCTTCTCTCGAGGGAGCCGCGTAGGCGGCCTGCTCGTCCAGGCTACGTGTCCACCACCAAGTAGTGCAGCGTGTACGTGAGCAAAGGAGAGAGGGACTGCTCGTGGAGCCCGCGCTGGTTGACCAAGAGTGGAGTAGAGGCGCTGCTCCCTCCGTTTCTTTCTGCGTGAGAGGCCGGCGCCGTTTCGTTTTGCCTAGGGACGCGTGTGCACGGGTGTCCCCGGCGCCGCCCCTTCCGGTTGCAGCAGTTTTGTGTGGATTTTGTATATTTTTTTGAATTTTGTGAAGAATTTGTGAATAATTTGACATATATTTCTTTGGTGTCTGGAATCCATAGAAATAATTTGTATTTTTTTTTTGAAAATTTTGGCATATATTTATGCTATTCTCAAATTACATCACTCTATCCAATAAACTACACTGAAAAAATCATTTACCCTACTAATACACCATCTTTTCTTTCCTACGTCCACACAAGAAAATGACCCCCCGCTGAGATGTCCCCTCTAAGTCCACCCTAAAAAGTGTACCCAGGAAAACAACACATTTCAAACGAACTATCCAGATACACTCTAAGCCTTCTCTCTTCTTACTCATTACATAATCAAGGGTCTGGATTGAGTGTATCAAATCTTTTTCTTTTTCTTTTTGAAACGCACCATGCCCAACTCCCAACGCGAAAGGGAAAAGGCGATCTGCTCTTGTCTCGCGAAGCCGCGCCGCATGCCCAGGCGGCGCCGGCCTCCCCCTGCTCGACGCAGGGAGCCCGGAGCCGGGGGAGAGGCCGTGGGGGGCACTGCGCGTCTGCGCCGGCTGCGCCGGCTGCGCTGGGGCCGGGCGCTGTCAGGCGGCAGCCGCGCCGCGGCGGCCGGCGGGCCGTAGACCGGCGGCGCGCGGCTGGGTGGACGGCAGCGAGGTTGACTCGTCCAAGTCCGCGCCGTCGTGATCGCTCGAGGAAGAGCGCTCGGCGGGGGCCGTGTCTTCCAACTGGGCGCCGCAGCGGCGTCTCGGGTGTCCTCCGGCGCAGGTGGCTCCGGCTGAACAGCGGCTACTCCTCCACTGCACCATCTTGCGTCTGTTACTCATCTGTTGCTAATCAATTGTTATGGATTGATTATTTAATCGTCATTGTGCCATTGTTTGCAGGTGCAGGCTGCAGGCTGCGATAAGTGAGGCAGCCGAGTGGTGTACAGCTAGAGATGCCGATTGCACATATAGGTATGTAATATTCACCCTTTTCTCGATTTGCTCCAGGGCCTCAAAATCTCTGGTAAGGTCCTGCTTATTGTATTTACTTTATTGATTCAAAAAGTTTGAAATAATTAAGTTCTTAGCTTGAATAGGTATCTGAAGTATACAAGGAAATGGAACTTGTTGGATGCACTCAAGATAGAAAAGCAAGAGATGTTGCATGATGAGTACGTAATTCTGGAACAAAGAGGATGTAAGTATTTGATTTCAGATGACTTGCTCCTTTAAGGATGAAAATACATTGGGTCAGTGATGATGTATGCAAAATACTTTGACAGATATCTATTGACTTTTGAAACCCTGCTATTCTAATTGTTCCATTGTCAATGCTTGTAATTTGAGGAACCCCACCTAACTTTTTGCTTATACATGCATGATGCAGAGCAAACACAGTGCTGGATTTGATGCAAAAAGGAGCTCAAGGTAACATTTTGATTAGACCATGGAAGTCTGGCCAGAAACTTCTAGGAACTGGGATTCTCTTGGCCTTCTCCTGCTTACCTAGAGATCGGACGAACAATCCTTATGCACTTGGTTTTCTGCCACGCATGATCACGGCTCCCCTTCCGGATCATCACAGGAACAAGAAGTCACCCATACCAGATCATTGGCAAAACAGGTCACCCACAATGCCAATTACCAAATAGCAAGCAACCTGGCATCAAGGTGTGGGTTCATGCACGGCAACCTGCTGCCCTATCCCATCTTTGTCATTCAGGAAATTCTTAGGTTTGTGTTCTTCATTTAATTTTTGTTTTCGGCCTTTGACACAACTCTGGCTTTTGTTTTTCTAACAAAGTTTGATATACTACTTGTGATCTGTCGTTAATTGGCCGTCCGATAAAATTTTGCTGATCAATATAAGATAGTACGAAATATAGCATTGCTTTGACAATATTGTGCCCGTCCATGAACTTTGGCTTTGCAAATATGCTCAATTATAAAGTAGACATATAGAAATGCTTTGATAATATTCTGGAAAAGGTTGACTACAGTGATGATAGAAGTCACTCCTTGTTCCTTGGTGGCGTCAAAGGCTGATTTGGCATCAAATTTCGGTACCAGGCTATATATAGCCATAGTATTTAAATACCCCTTGCATGTTATCATGAGCAGTTTGTGCAAGAAAAGCTCTTTGTGTTTCGAATCTGCCATGTACATATGAGAACAAATAATAAAATCTACATGTAATTTATTTCTCTCTGTGATCAACTGCAGGCTGCACTGTTTAACCAGACAGATTGTTCTTGTTCTCATGGACCATGGCACAAATGTTGAAAGCAAATATAAGCAAGGTAGGTTCCTTTTACTATTTCTGACATTTATTATTTCTTTTCAGATTGGGGAACTGTGTTTTGGTAGCACCAAAATCAAGACCAGTAGCCTGATCAGACCACTAGCAACACCTATGAAGGTAATGAATCTCAAGGCAGTATCAAGACGAAGTTAGGTCAAGCTCAGAGAGTTATTTAACACATACTGTTTTCTTTTCTGTGCTTGCTCCGTTGCTAAACAGGCATACCTTGTTTCTTGCTTATTAGCCGTAACATGTAGTTGCTTAGTACCTGTAACATGTAGTTCTTCTTGATTGATGGAGCACACATGTAGTACCAATAACATATGTAAATAAATGTTTGATGACACCAAAACTAACGAGTCTGATCAGTTGACACCTTTTTGACTCGTGTGCACCATTAGAGATTAAACATATGGGAAATGCTTTTAAGGATATTAAGAGGGTTTACAATCTAAGCTGGAAGGTGCAATATCTTCTTCAAGATATCAATATCGTCTACAATTTCCATCATCCTTTTTTGAATACTATTTATTGAAGTTGTTTTGGTGCCTTTGTAGTATCCACAGGACACAAATACTGACAAAATATGTTTAGGTCACATATAAACCTGTGGCCTCTAGCGGAAAACATGGCAGCCCGAAAGTCCAAGGTGGCATCTCAGCTAGCCAGCCACAAATGTCGCCGCAACCAGCAAAGATGTGTCCATATTTCAATCCGATCCTTTTCCCTTTCAATTTTTTGATGAATCACTCCATCCATTGTTTGTGTTATATATGTCATCCAGAGCGAGTTTCCTTTCTACGATAAATGAATAATGTGAAGATAAGTGACAAACCCTGGTGATGTCAATAATAATTCTTTTTAATATAAATGTATTTTTTACTTGCTTAAAAATATAATCAGATGCTAAAAAATCATCAAATGCATATGATTTATATTTATACCTTATATTTTTATGGACACGTGCGTGTCGCACGTGCATCTCTACTATATTAGAAGTGTACTTATCTTTGGATAGAAATCTGGTCGATGGCGATAAAGTTGTCCGGTCCTCGTGCTTTTCGGCCTGTTGTGACGGTGGTCGCGGTTGTCACAGCGTTGTTCTTCGTGGCAATCATTATTGTGACGTGGTCTGGTGGTTGAGGTGGTCGGAGCTCGGCGGAGGCGCTCGGTCCGTGGTCGACGTGGTCCGTGCTCGATGTGGTCGGAGCTCGGCGGAGCCGCTCGAGACGTGGTCGACGTGGTCCGTGGTCGACGTGGTCGGAACTCGGCGGAGCCGCTCGGGACGTGGTCGACGTGGTTCGTGGTCGACGTGGCTGCTCGATTAGTTCAGTGGTCGGAGGGCTGCTGCTTGTCTTCGTGCACCGTTACTTCTTGATACTCCTCAATCCGAATCATGTTGACGAAGTTGCGTGGCTTTGGCCGAGGTCGATGTATAAAACACAGATCCGAGCAGTGTTGTATATTGTACGCATAGTTGGAAGCAGTGTTTCGCAGGCCGTAGGGCTGAGCCTGGTAATTCTCCATCAAGGCTTCGCACTCGGAGAGCCGGAGACCCGTTGCGGGGGCTGGTCGGCGATGAACGGAGCGCCCTTCAGGAGTAGACGTGACCACGAGATCTGTACCGAGTTGTGCACGACAACTGGCCCGAGCTGGTCGGGTAGATCTGTTGTGGGGAGTGGTCACCTGCTCGGTAGGTTGATTTTGAATCGAATCTACCAGAGCTATGGTTTCAGCAAGCTTGGTC